ATTAAGTCGTTTGGACATGAAAGTCAAAAATACTTATCTGGACACGTAACCCTTTTAAATTTTGGGTCAATTTTTTCGTTGGGCGACCTGATTATCGATTCCCGTTTATTTTGAGGTCTATACAGTGAATGGCCCGTGTGCTGTACTTCATAACGAAGGGTAAATTTCACCTACACATTATTGTTATAAAATAAAAGTCTGGTTTTATCCAGCCACCGTATAATAAAGTTTTGACATCAGTCTCTATTTCCAGATGACGACTGGCGGGTTTAAGTTGTTTGAAAACATATTACAATTATTGAGATAGTTGCTCGGCTCTTAGGTAGAGAATTTTAAGAGATTTTAACACAAAATTAGGCAGTTTTATTCTCCAAAATATTATCAGGATTGGCCCTTTAAATTGCATTAAATTACATAGATTGACTTCTTTTAAAACATCCTTAAAAGTAAGAATGTAAGAGAACGTTAAACACCGACAATGTACTCAGATATAGAGAGAGAGAAATGGGGTTTAACGTCCACACGACACAAACTAGGACATTTCAGGACTAACATATGGTTCAATTTTATTTCCATAATTTGCTTGCGCGTAGGGGTCTTTAGCAGTGGGAGGAAACCGAAGCACCCGCAGAAAACCCACGAGGTTGGACAGGCGACCCTACTCCTTGTCACATACAAACAGGGAATTTAAACCATGCCAGTTGACTCAATGACAGACTTTATGATACAGCGCGCACATGCTAACCATTCAGCCATCCAACCCCGCCCCCACTGTAACCAGATGCACCTCACCCTGTTAATTGGCTCAATAGTAACGTCCGTTACAAATGGTCACGTCCGTTACAAATGCGTCACGTCCATTACACAGTAGGGAGTAATGTCCGTTACAATATTTACAATATATTGATCAAATATTGCAACATATTGGCTGAGAATAACAATGAAATCATGCCCGAAGTTTTACACTTTAACCTGGATTGTGTCCTAATACTATTTATAGGACTATGATCCTTAATAAATAACATGTATATTACATTTTTATGCTATTTATGGCTCTCACTGTTACTATAGATAGATCCATATGTACTATAATACCTATTGAATAACCATAATAAAACTGAGTAAAATATGTCTTCATAAGCTTGGTTGGTGTAGTAAAATAGAATGTTAAAGCCCACCATTTCATTCCATGCCATTGAAGCTGCTAACACAGTTCACATAAAAACATCTGTACATGTTATTGGCTATTTGATCAATTTTCATTTGTGGAATTAAGAACTAAGAAGAGGCGTTTTTATTTTCGGTGAGCTTTTGTGGCTCACCAACCATTAGGTCTGTTTGTTCCCAGCTTTAACCAAGAAAGTTCCTCAGGACATTCCAGCGCCCCTCCCCCACCCCCCTTCTCAACGGTGTAGGACGGTCCTAGCAAAATGTCCCTAACACAATATAGCACACTGAATATATATAATATAACAAGCACACAAATTTATTCTGGCCCATTCACTCATAGCCAACTAATTTTTGCTTGACCTCCTAAAATGTCTCCACAAGGTAAATCTGAAGCAAATATAATGTCATATCTCCATGTTGGCATAAAGAATGGAACCCAAATGGCATCTACAGCTTTTGGTTCGATTTTTAGAATAGGACAAGAAACCAATGTACACACATATGCTCCTCAAGCCTGGACATACATGTAAGACAAGATAGTTGTTACAGGACTTTGTTAAACACAAATTATTACTAAAAGTTTTTATCATAACTTGAACATTGTGTGAAAATTTGTGCCTGATGAAGTCTGTGACTGGTGCCTTATGTCCAGGCTTATATATAAACCTTGTGTGATAATTTGTGCATGGCAGACGATTTCTGTCCAGGCTAGGTAGGTGTATATATATAGTTGCCATTTTGAATTTCATGAAAAGTAAAACAAGACCTCGTACTTGTGAATAAGTTAATTTCAAAAATTTTAGGAAACCGTTCAAACAAGATAGAGAAATGAGAAAACTACAGATTACAAGCAGATCTCTTGTGACTATATTAGGAATTTCCATAAAAATTTGTCCCGATATCTGTCTAAATAAGAACGATATCAAACCCTGTTTTAACTTATATTCCTTTCACAGAATCAACTATCACAATATTGTGATATTGCAACAGATTCAAAATCACTGTTTCTTAGTTTTAGTTTTGCCAATGGCATAAACTGTCAACATCGGATCACTAAATTAGTTTTATGAATATCTCAACATTGCCCTCTCTATGTCCTGGAAACCATGGTGGGTCAGTGACTAAGACATTGGCTCGCTTACTTGAAGTAACATGTGCGCTCCTGGGAAAGGGATAGACGTCATATGGACAAAAAACCAAGGTCCTGTGTACCCATGGGCATGCAGGTAAAAGAATTGTTGACAGTTTGAATTCGATATTATAAGAGTAGGCAGTAGTGCCGCTGCCTGGGCAAAATTTCCCTCAGCGCACTGTATTCCAGCCAGAGCAGAACAGGACATTAAACCCCATTTCATGTGTCCTGTGAACCCACAAAAAATTGTAATCATAGACCCCTACTCTTTTCACAAAGCACATCAAGACATGAAATTTAATCAAACTGAGATTTGTTATCACCTAAATCTTAGAGATCTCATTACTATTATTTCTTTTTTTTGCAAATCCATTAACAAACTGATATCAAAATGTCATCATATAGTCCATTTACTTTGTCTGAACTTTAATTAAGTCTGACGCATGCTAGATTTTTTTATGGATACACAATTACTGAAATAACTACTAAGCAACCTCTCAAAGAAAGAAGTTAATTAAATATACACTTTTATTTATGTAGTCAATTTCAAAGAGACAGAAAGAAAGAGAGAGAGATGGTTCTAACAAGGTTGGACAAATGACCCTATTGCTTGCCAAATACGAGGAGGGAATCAAAACCACACCATTTATGATAGAATTTATGATTTAGCAATACGGTTTACACAATTTGTCTTTATTGTTACATGTATTTCCATCAATTTGCTAAGTATGATCCAATTTTTCTTTTCATTTCCAATATAAAAGTAATGTAGAATATTTCTGAATAATTTAATACAACTGGAAGAGAAAGAGGTTAAAGTGACGAAAGTGAAATTCATGAAAGCTGATTTTTGATTTTTGGATTTGTTGTTCCAGGTAAATTATTTTACCTTGACTCCGAACTTGAACATGACATATTACATATTGATTAATCGAACATAGCATTAGTTCAGATAATGAATATTCGAGTATAAGTCCACACAAATTTAATTATGAGAATTGCGTTACCCTCGACATTTTGTCAGAAGCGGCGGGCGGAAATAAAAATAAAATTTGATCTTGGACGCAAAATATAGCTACCACGACAGTGTCAGGTGAATCCGATGAAATTTTCGGATGAAATTCGGAATCCCCATTGCAGGATTCCGAATTCCGGCCCACACCCAGCACACCTGGCCCAGAAAGTCTATTATACCAGCCCACGGCGGCCCGTTAAAACCACCGGCCACATACAACATGATCATCATCGCTCCATGACCGGTCCAATACACCCCCCACACCCCACATATAATGTTCAGCACAAAAGGGGGTTTTTTTTAGACGAATTGAACAAAATTATTTTTTTCATTTCCACCGGCCCTTCGGGCGATCGCCCAATCCGCCCCTGCTAGGCATCGATCCCATTAGTTATGACGGCAAACTTTAACGGTCTGTTACGGCGAGTTCTTGGCGTGCTGTAAACGTCAACGCTGATTAATTAATCAATGTCAGACGTCATAGTGTCAAAAGCCACTCGTATGACCCTGACACGACCTCCCACTACAACTGGTCAGAACTTCATGTAGTACAGGCCATCAAAAGTATAAAAAAGGGAAATGAAATATAGATCTGTATTTTAATCAGATTGTACATTCCCTTGTTTTTATTCATTATATACTTAATAAAAACATGGTAATGCACAGACTACTTTTTCTATTTTTCTCGTTTTCTCTTATCTAGTGACAGTCAATTATTTTTTTTGAATTCTCAAATATCCTCCCACAGTCTCATATAATAACTTTTGGTCTTCGAAGGAATTAATATAAATAGCAGAAATTGCTCATGCTATCTGTTGTCACTTCAGTCAGTTATATAGAAGGATAACTCGTTTCATCACTTCCGTTTGTTCAAATCTTCGTTGTGCATCTATCGTAGCAATGATCTCTGTGTTAAAATTGTATTTGGAACGTGCTTAACCAGTTCTATCACATATGTGATAATGATTGACACCAATATTGTCCTTTAATAGAACTGGAAACTGGTCACAATCAAATCTGGAAATAAGGCAACTGTCACAGACAACGTCAAACAATAATTCTAGCTTTGTTCTGCACAATTCCTCTGGTACTCTGGTGCCTGTCATTTTGTTCAGCACAAATTTGTATTTTAATTATTTATAATAAATAAATGTTTGGTATAAAATGTTAAGAACCCACCGTTCCTTTCTTGTATTAATTTATTGCTTTACAGCATCAGATGTCATACAGGCCTGAGGCCTGTGATTGCAAAGGTTGGATAGCACACTGTTCATTGACAAGTTTCAAACTATGTTAATTGTGGGTGCTTTCCTGTAAACTTTACAATAGTTCTTTCCCCTTTGACCACAAACTGATTCATTCATGGCAAATTTAGAAATGGCTACTCCATAATAAATATTTTCAAACGTAATGAATTATTAAAGTTTATAAATGTCACATTTGTTTGCCATGAACATAAATAGAGCAATGGTAAGTTGCACTTTTATAAGTAACCAAAGCAGTCGCATTTTGTGTCGTATGTCACTATGACACTGTGAATGACTTGAATGAGTAAACCAGCACGTGAGCACGGTGATATGAATTAGAAACTAAATTGAGAAACATACGCAGCTGTGACAATCCATGCGTTTCAATCGCACAGTCAATAAATAGCTAAACATTAAGAAAACAAAATACATATACCTTGCAATAACATAATAAACGATAAAATCCGTCATTCCATCGTTGCAAGTGTCTTAATACCATGTGCAGAGAAAGGAAACCATTGTTATCAACACTACTGCACATGCCCAGACCCCCTACATGCCAAATAATACGTCACAGCATTCCGCGGTAAACGTCATGCGAGATATTTATATCACGTGGCGTATGTGAAGACTTGCGGCTATCCTACGATTCTGTTTGATCTATGTCCAAACAGCTATATGTAAACAAATATCAGCATATTTTCACGTGATATAGTCACCTGTTTAATAAACAAATTGTGTTTGTTGTGTACACGTAACCTAGTTTTATTTTTAACGGTTAGGGTCGTGGTTTTTATTTTATTATTACTTTGTCTAGTATATTATACTCATTAAGTCATTTCTCATTTGGTACTTCTTCCTAGTACAGTTCTTTCTAGTTCTAGTAGTTCGTCCACAAATTCTAAGGACTGGCGTTAAATTTTAAATGTAGAAAGAGAACTTGCTACACGAGGAGCCATTTTACTGTACTTCATGCTTCCCGACCTCATTATACAATATTTTAGTATGTCGCGTCGGAAATTTCCGCCGTAAAAATGAATTCATTCTCCTTGAATTTCATCAATGTCATTGCATAATTTTCATTGGGCTTTTCTCTCAAAGCGCACGGCCTGAGCTTTAAGACTTTGTTGACATTCTATCTACCAATGAAATCTCCGTATTCTATCAGCTGATAGGTGGTCTTATTTTAGCCACGACATATATGGTCATGTCATAGACTGTCTGCATTCCAGACATACTATATTACTATGGAGAATTTTGCATTTATTCAGAAATATAGCATTTTATTGCAAAACGCAACAGTAAATTGAGGACAATATTCTGAGTTATAATAATACATAAATGGCTACACGGAAACATATTAAAATATATTTCCAATACTTAGTATTGATGCTTACATGAGGAAATATCATTTCAATAACTTTCAAATTCTCCCAACTGTCTCGATGGCAACCGTACGGCAGCTGTTGATTTGTTTATTTTTACTTTCCCGCGCCTTGCCAACGGACTAAACACTGGTTTTACATATATCTGACCGCAACATAAAATAGTTCCCCCATGTTTTATAATTTTTCTTTGGGACATTTATTGAAAAAAGGATAACAAAGCCTTATTCTAGAATGCATATGTTCTAATAAAGGGGACACAAAGATGGAAAAGGAGTTTTAGGGGTCGAGAATCGACCCAGACGGTGAGACCCCCAGCATTACTTTTCGCTGTGAATTAGCCAACAGCTGTTTCGCGCCAATTATTACTCACTCTGCCAGCGTTACGCCGGGATAGTTGTGGATAGTACCTTACAATCGTAAATAAACCCCACAAATCGTGTTTATAAAGTGTTTTTGTTGTAATTTTGGATGTTGGATAAATTTATGTTTCCAAGAGGAAGTGATCGACAAAAGATAATGGAACGATACAGTCCTAGGAGCGATGGATTAGCCGCTGTTTACGCACGGTGAGTTGTAAACTTGTACGCATGCTTTACGGGTATAAACACTATCGTAAGACAGCGTGGTCAGCCCATGTTTTGAATATTTTGACAAAATTTTAGCCGATTTCTAACTGAAACTATATGATTTAGTTGCAGTGACTTACGGGGCTCCAGGATATATAACTTTTAACATAAATTTGGGGTTGTGTCACATGTAGAAAATGATTTGTTTACATCGTGTATTGAAAGATCATATCGACAAAGCACGATGACGTTCATTCAAGCTTTCCCTCACTAGGTCGACTCGCTAGCCGCTATGTCCTACAAGTCTTGACTAGCGACAAACGCACTGTCGGTAAATATGCCGAGCGGGCACCCATTACGCTATTTTATTTATTTATTTATGACATGTTTTGAATTTTTTAACGCTTGTTTTTGGATTCAGCCCTGTTTTTATTTTTGCATTAATTCGGCCTAAATTTTTAATTTACAAAATAAAATTAACGTAGTCTAGACTAGGCCTAGAGGTTGACGTTCAACCATCATGCGGTGTCTTTGTATTATTTACATTAACATTTGGGGTTTAATTTTATTTCTTTCCTCTCTCCTATTTAACATTTTATTTATCAACATATTTCAAATATTTGTTTTATTATAAACATCTACAAATTTAGATAACTTGTTCGAATTAATCAGGTGCTTTGAATTTTATAAACTATTTAGTAGCCTATATATGATTTTAATTGAATATTATGAATATATTTTTTTTTGTCTTGACGGCGGGATGTGATTGACAAGACAGGCGTAATTGGTCCAGATCAAGGATGTTCTAGTGAAATAGCCGAATTGAATTTAGCTTTAGCTTTCTTGAGTCGAGATGTTTTAGTTTTTTCGATTTTGGTTGTGGACATTCTTTACAAACATAACTTGATAATTGTTTAAAATAAAAATAAAAGTTCGAAAAGCAAGCGAAAGGTGTAAAAACAAGGTCGTATATTTACATTTAGGGGTATGTATGCATGATAAGCGATTTTCAGCGTCAAAGGTACTTTGACCAGTCAGTCACGAGGAATAACTGGCAATCTGCCAAACGGGGCGGTCATACGGTAATATCGCTGTGACTAAATTTCTATTTATTGCATACACGCTATTCGTGTAAAATCGGAGTATTTTGTTCGATATTATCTAATGTATGCGTATCATGTTGGGTCCTTTTTTTTGTGGGGGGGGGGGTGTTTAGTCATCTACCTGCAACTTAACACCGATCAAAGCGCAATCAAACAAAAATGAGTTGCTGGCAGCCTGCCAAGTATTTTTCTCAGAGGCGGGCGACTGTTGGCAAACTGCCAAGCGACGGCTATGTCTGGCTTACAGCATTGATGATCAATACGGAAGATCGATTTCGCCTCCCGTTTTAGTAATGTTGTTATTTCATTCATTTGTAAGTTCTACCTTGATGCGACACCTTGTATTATTGTGCTAGCAAAGTCAACGCGCACCGCTTTAACGGTACATTAGCTTTCATCTTTTTCTTTTAAAGTAAAGCAAATAGAGTTGTATTCCTACGCAACATCCTAATACAATTACCTTCCTACTATCTCCAATACGGTATAATATATAAAAATTAAAAAAAAAACGCCAGGTTCCCCCCCCCCCCAGTTATAAACGGTTTAAAACAAAATAATTTTATATTAGGGTTTATTTAACCGCATAATTTTTTTTAAGTGTCTCTAATATTTATGAGCCCAATTTCGTCCGGATCAATGTCCGTTGTTGCCTCTCTTTTTTTTTGTGTTTTTGAAAATTTATACTATTTGAAGCCTATTTCGCATTATTATTATTATGTAACTGTGACATGGTATAACGACATATTTTTGACAAGTAATCAAAATAGTGTTTTTATTATTCATATATCCATTGATTGCAATGCAAAAATCTTTAAATAGTGATATTTTGTGTCACTGAGTTCTATCCGAATCACAAACGGATTCGATTAATCTTTAATATTTACCAGTAATTATATCTATTTTGAAGAATATTACAGCGGAAATTATTCACCTGTTCCGAGTATTACTATAGTATGAAACTATAGTCAGTAATATAACCATATATTTTGCCTAAAAGTTTGTCAAAGTAAATCACACTCCGTACATTTATTAATATTTCAATTATATGTTTTATATAAATTCCATTATTTATCTTATTAGGAACCATCCGCCGGAAAGTGACAAAAAGCAGCGCCGTGAAATTGCCAACAAAAACGAAAGACGTCGAATGCAAAGCATCAATGCTGGATTTCATGCATTGAAGGCTCTGATTCCACACCATGACGGCGAAAAACTCAGCAAGGTAAATAGTTATTTTACGCTCTTACTTATCTAGGGTGGGTGGGTGGTCGAATGGTTTAACGCACGCCCTTTAGATCATAAGATCTGTCATTGATTGCTCGCTTGTACATGAACATGAAAACTAGTTGGTTCCCCTGCCCAACCCCGTGGGTTTTCTTCGGATCCCCCGGTTTTCCCCGACTGCAAACGAATTATTGAAATAAAATTGAACCATATGTTAGTCCCGAAATGATTTTATTTGTGTCGAGTGGGCGTCAAACCCCATTTCTCTCTCTTTCTTTTTTTATATCTAACACTGGGTCAATTTCACTTAAGCTGCAGAAACATCAAATTCAAACGTAATTTCGATTTTCGCAAAATATGCATGCTGTCTATTATGTTATTAATTCCTACTATACACAGTTTAGTGACACGAATCCCGGGTCCACATGACGTGTTTGCAATAAAATTAATTAACCGACACATTCCTTCAAATAAAAAGTTTATTCGATTCTCATAAAGATTAATATATGTTTATGTGTGCAGTTTTTGCAGCAATAAGTTTCTAGTCAAATCGATAAATAAGCTTATTCGCTGAAATATTTATTAATTTTTAGAAATTATATCACATGTGAACATTTCATGTAGGCGTTGAACAATAGCATATTATTATAAAGAACGTAATAATACATGTACATGTAGGTAGGTCTCCGACACTGGATTTGATAGAGATGTCAATTATTTGGGCTGCCATGTCGAGTACTTGTCGACATGCTTGCTCATCATTCGCTAAATATGTATTTAATTAATTTGATATCCACCAGTTTGCTAGCCGAATCGCCCGCATACACACGTACATAACTCCTCCATTTTTGGCATGACCCACTCACTGGCTGATAGACGAGACTGAGTAATGTACATGTATTTGATTGCGTTTTATTAGGTGAATATGTAGGAAGCTAAGAACATGTTAGAGGCAAGCTGTTCTTATATATATATTTGTAATCTCATAGGTTTACATATACCTTTACCTTCTATACAATAACTACCAAATGTCCCGTCGCTTGTAAAATGGATGTACATGTAGGTAGAGTGCTTGTTTTCTAACCCGAATCAGATGTTAGTGATGGGTCGACATATGTAAATAAATAGTTGTGTGTGGGTTGGGGTTTTTTTTTCGGGGTTTTTTTTTGTTACAAATTTAACGCCCAATACATTATACATGATTTTGTGGAGATGTTGATGCAGTTAAGTTATTTACATATGAAGTAGTAAAAAAAACAGATAAAATAAATGTAATCGAAATGTCACTTTAAAACACGATTTTAAAATTCGATGTCTTGCTTGAGAAGGGAGGGTGGACCATCTTCTCCCTTTGTCATAATAAAATGTTTAGCACTGGGGGATCGAACCACACACAACCATACACGTTTAAAAACAGATATGACGGGGGTACCGAGAATAGGAAATAAGATGAACAGTGCGATAAATTAGAGAAATATAAACTCCTATAATTCCAGTAAAAAAAACAAGACAGGCGCTAATGCTACATCAATTGTCTTGCATCTTCATTGAATGGAGATTTTTTTTTATTAATCACCTGATAGAATACCTAAAAAATTAACGAACGCTTACCCCCTCAACCCCACCCCACCCTTTTACTCCCCACAAAAGTTATTTCTTTATAACTGCATGGGATCAGCGATGAATTAGAACGGATATTGACTTCAGTTTGTTTAGATTTGATTTTCACCGACCCCTACACAATAGAGGATCAACAAGCAACCCGTTAAATGCGTTTCAAGAAACCTACAAACTATAAAATCGTTCGGCTTCCTTAATCACTGAGTATTGATTTTATGATTTGGCCGATATCTGACATCCAGTTGCATGAGAATTGAGAAGACAGACAGAAAGCTGGTCTGGTTCACTTGTGTTTCTTAGACATCCGCATAGAACCGCGAATTGTCCGGACGCGAGACTGGCGAGACGAAGTCTATAGACGCCACAACAAATATATCCGATGGTCAACGAACTGTGTGAGCTATATCTGTAGTGGTGGGTAGGTCAGTCAGTGTGTCATGAAGACCAGCCTGAGCCAATATCAATATTGAAATAGGAGTCCATTTTAACATTGTCTGACGCCCATATTGTATTCAATTTCTGTTTAAATTAGACATTTCAAATATATGGTGACCTCACACACAGCTTTCCATTTTTTGCTTGGATAATTATATTGGATATTGTTTTCATATACATTTTCTTCATTTGTAACCTTAAATATTAAAACATATGAAGGGTCAAATTAATGAATTTTTGGAACTATATTGCCAGAACGGATATATATACCGATATCGAGTTAAGAACCAGGTGCTCATTAATTTACTGTTAACTCAAATTTTATACAATGCATTAAAAGTGCATCTGATGTTGTTAGCGTTATGTATGTCAACTTCAATTAAATAGGATTAGAAATGGTATCAAGTGTTCCAAAACAACACAATACTGTCAGATCAAAATATACATCTGTTTTGAATGACATGCTTATTGTTTGAAGACATTTTTCAACAAATTCCACAATATATGAAATTGATATTGATTATGAGGAGGTGTATGAGAACATATGTTGGGCTATTTATAGACCCACGAGTTGGAAAAGTACTTGTAAGTAGGCTATGGTATACACCTGGTGCAATATTGAACCATGTCCCAGTTAGCCTGTAGACACAATTGCTGGAATACTTGTAAAAACAGTTGATGCATTCCATCTACATGTATACTGAAAAATAAAAAAAATCTAGGATACATAAAAGACAATAGTTGAGTGTTTAAATGAAGTACAGCTCAAAGCCACGTCAACACCAATGATGATAAACGAAAAACACTATAAAGCGGATCAGACAATTGCAAAAATAAATATAGAAAATCCAAAAAAAAAGGCCCAAGTATCACCGACTACTAGTACACAAGTAAAGCATATTTGAGTGTTCGTTTCATATAAATAGGCCAGAAAATATTGTTTTGTTAATCTGACATTAAACACTTGTTTTACGCGGAGTTCTCCTCCACGCCCACCCAACAAAGTAGTTCGGCTCACTTCCTCTTTGGTTGTCAGCTGTCTAAACATACACAATAATAATTTATAAATTTCAACATTCCAACACACAGAAATAACACCTTTTCTCTCCCGTTAGACAACATTTCATATTTCTAACAGCTGACAGCTTTGATGGACGCCATTGTTGTAAAAATAGATGTATTTTTGATCACGTGAAATGGACTATATTTAGATGTAATGGTTCTGAAATGTTTGTTAATGTATATTCAAGATGTTCTAGTCTACACTAAATGCTAATGGCTTGTAAAATATTCTATTAATATTAATTTATTTCGTTAGTGCGTTCCGTTTGAAGAATCCTAGTGGATTTTTTTTTTAATTATTTTTTTATACAAAACCTTACACATGTGAATATAAAGTTGTAGTTGATCTACCGTGAAATACTCCCGAAACGAATAAAATTAATGAGTTTAATGAATATACGTTTTATTGTATAGTAAACACGCGTTTCATTCATATTCGTTTTCACGGACCGAGACCACCTACATGTAGTTGAAACAAACAAAACACCTTTTACATAAATTGTGTGTTGGGGTTAGTTTTCGCTTGGATTTTTTTTAAAAATAATACGCCTGGCTTCGCCTTGTACATCTTGCTGTTAATTTAAAAATAATTAAGATTCATAACATTCAAAGGATATGAATGCCGCAATATAATAGAACCGCAGGGGCTAATCGTCTTGCATACATGGCACACAGATTATTTTTTTTTCTGTGCGTGAAACAGTCACCCAGATGTAACTGAATTAAGATTCTTAATGGCAATTAATGATTATTAGATGTTAGAGGACCGCACCACACACAAACAAGGCTATTCGAGACTAACAGAATATTTTATTTTCATAATTCGCTTGTGTGCTTGTGATCTTTAGATAAACCATTGTCAAGTTATTGCAAACCCGGGATTAAGATCGTGACTCGGCAGTTTGATGAAGCATATTAAGATGTTAGAAGTAATAGAAGAAGAATGTCATTGAATATTTTCTCTCTGTATCAAGTCGGATCGCAATCGTTCAGCCCGAACACTAAAATATTTTACAAATTTGCCCCAAGATATTCTAAAGAATTTAAGGACTCGCATTCTGTTCTATCTATTTTAGTGATAAAAATATAGTCTAAAAAGGCTGCACAAATATTTGGGGCGCGCTTTCTTCAATGAATCAAATTAAAATTTGAAAGTACATCCTGTCTACCTGTCCATTTATATAAGACATTAAAATACCGGGGCAAGCAGGAGTGGCGATGATCTTTTGAAATTCTGATCGGGCGAACGTTTAACTCACAAATCACGTGACCTATAGAATAAACAGTACTCCCCCACATCCTATCGCGGCCTCGAAATGGAGATATTTGCCTCAAGAACCAAGCTCCATTTTCAAGATTTTGTTTGTTTTCTAAGATTCCGCTGAGTCAGTGCTGTCTTTAATTATCAAGCCCTACCTAATATGAAAAGTAGTTTTTTTTTATCAGGGAATGTAAAAGGCTATAAATGTTTAACGGGCCATGGCACACATTCTATATCACACGTGATACAGCTGATCGCATTATTTCATTCATGATCATGTGGCGTTTACGTCATTGTAGGTCAAAGGTGACGTATTTGGGGTGTTCGCTAACTCATTACGTTGTACACACATGTACAAGCCTGACTTCATATACACCAGGGGAGAATGCCATGCCTGATGATAAATGGGTCGAGTGTTGAAGGCTTTCTTTTCTCCAATTCAAATTGATTTCCGGTGAAATTTAAAAACTAGTTACTATTGATGACATATTTAATATTTAAAAAAAAGAATTGTTAACCATAGAATTAAAATAACGGTACCAATAATCACAAAAAAAAACATCAGCATACCAATGAGAATATAGTGTTTTCAATTTACGTGTATCCTTATTATATTTGATAAATGAAAATCATTGTAGGCGGTATATTGATAGCGACTGTTGCTCCATTGTCATTCTCTACAATATTCATGTCACGCCTATTTTGATGAGAAAGCTAAAAATGAAACAGTTCTTGTATTCTTCATATAGTTTAATACTATTATGACAAGTAATAGACTTTAATCAAGTTCCCGGTCACGTTTCAAAAAATTAAAAATAAAATATCATTTACGACACGTATTGGCCAAATAGATATAAAGTGGTGTTCAGCTTTTCTGCACCAACCTGGATATAAAAACGGGCATATGCCACACAACGTGTCGTGCAGTGGTGTTTTGTCACATCCAAACGGTCAAGAGTCCATTTACGTACATGTACTGTCTAGTACATGTCATGTGGATCTCAGTTTTTCGTCCCATCCAAACGACTGTACACCGCGCCCATTTAGCCGCCGTGGCTCCCATGTCGGAGTAAAAATGAGTCAAGTAAACTAATCTGAATAACTAAATTAAATGCGCTCCATTCACAGTTATGAAAATATGATCTTTTTCTGCATTCTCGATTTTCTCTTGGTCGGGTAATGTCGGGCATTGTATTTGAAAGAGGGTAATAACCACTTTGATGTTTATTTCAGCAGCATATTAATATTTGTAAGCGGCCCTATACAGTTGCTATAACACTCATATTAAATGTCATAGTATACATGTACTATATCAACCATTATATAAATCGATACAATAACCTTTCTATTATGATAGGAATTAATCTTTTATAATCTACACACCCGTTTATTATAAACGATACCCTTACATTCATACAAGTTTCACTTACACATATTCATACAACCCGGACTTTTTTTTCTCCCCAAAAAATTCTCTTTGAATAGCAGCAAGGTCTAGTGACGTTAATGTCGACAAGCTATCAACTATACATAGCCGCATTCCCTACATACCTTGTGGGGTATTCATGTGCTAATATAACTGACAGACAAGCTCGGTAAGTGTGGGAATAAAACTTGTATTAAGCGAGTTCATTCATGCACATCTGTGAGTTGGTTAAACCACTACTGTTCGACACTGGTAACTATAAATGTGTACTCGTCCACCCTTAAATACATATTACCTAGCCTACAAGGCATATTACATCTATCTTTCTTTCTATTTTTCTAGCCACTTTGCAAACGATTGGTTTTAAAATATGTATTTTTTAAATATATTAAAAACTCAAATGTCTTCTCTTTTAAAATAGGTCAATATGTTAAAACTGTAGACATCTATTATTGTCTGCACTAAATATATTTTATGGGATGATTTTAAAGTGTCTCGACTTCTACACGACATAGAAAATACAAAATGTAAACGATTGGCTTTAAAAGGGGTTTTTTTTTTGTTATTTTTTTATTTAAAAAGTCAAACGTCTTCCCTTATAAAATAGGCCAATATGTTAAAACTGTCTGCACTCAATATATTTATTTTTTTTAGTTAATGTTAAAGTCTCTCGGCACCTGCACATAGAAATTACAAAATGCTGTGATGGCTTTACCCCCACCCCTATTCCTTTGATTGGTCGATAAGAAAATAACACGGTTATAAAAACACATCTTTAGTTCAAAGATTGGTGAAGCTTTCCGGTACACTAGCACTAGAAAGATTGGTCGCAAATAAATTCGATGGAAAGTAGACTTTATGTATTTACCTACACTATTCCTGTTTCAAGTAAATCTATTTTGTTAAATGATTGATTAATTTCTTTTCTTGAGAAACTCGAACATATAAAATAGATTCGCTGGAAATAAAAAAATAAAACAAGTAGTACAATTTGTTCGGGTAAATAATACTGTTATCTGATGGTTTTTAGAACGATTACGTGAAGATGTTATTGTTTATATTGCAAATTAAAATAAGCGAATTCTTTAGAATTAGATTTGACTCCCGCGTCCATGCGAACCAGGGGAACTGACCTTCTTGGAATCGTTCGCTTTACCTCCGCGTCTACCTTGGACAAACTGACTTGCTAACATTCGTTGTCTATTGAAAGCGGTATTATCAATCTGACCAAAGAAAAGGGATCGACTCCGCCTAGAACAACGCCATGGTTTCCAGCGACTCCGCCAGTTTCGTCAAGTTGCGGCTATGAACGGTTAATTCCCCTTACAAAAACAAGAAGAGAACAAGTAGCAAGCAGCGACTAGATCTGTACATATAGATGCCGTTTTGTGCTTGCCTCACGGAGTTATTACCAGTGCATCTGTGTACGAAGTAGAAATTGAAGGCAAAATCTTGGTTGTGGATGTACAGATTTGTCTCAAACATGCCTCACGATCTAATTTAAACATAGATCACACGTGTAACGGCATCGTCAAGTTTGCGAATTCAAATGTTTTAAGTGTTTTGTTTATTTTGTGTTTTTCAGGCTGCCATTCTTCAACAGACAGGCGAGTATATCCAGTCTCTCGAGGAAGAGAAGAGTAAATTGATCGCCCAGAATGCCCAGTATAAACGACTACTATTAGAGAGTGAAAGAGAACGGGAGAAAGATCAGTTATTTAATGATTCGCCGCCACCGAAGAGAAAGAAGAGGGATACAGGTAGGAGAAGTTTATAAATATTTATTTTTTATTGATTGAGTGGGTAGAGCCCATTTTCTTCCATGTACCAGTACGCGTTTTAGCCAGCTAAAAAGTTTGTTTAATGCAAATGTAATATGACCATTTCCAATTCCATGTACATTTAACCAGCGAAAACGCGTACATGGATAAAGTGCTTAAGCCTAACTAGGACCTTTTTGCTGATTGAGACAGAAGAATTTTATTTTTTCTAATGTTTGTTTATTACGGTTTTTGTTAACTCCATGGAAACCATAGAATGGTCGCCCATACTGTCAAATGAGATTCTTTATATGGTAGTCCCATGTACCCAGGCAGCATGCACCTAAGCAAAAATAATTTGTGATCATTCATCGACCTTTGGTCATACTAATTATTAAATATGCAATATAAAATTTAAGCATCGGTTCTTACAGTACTCTGTAATAATGCTCATCGGTTATTTCTCTATATCTCCGCTTTCTGTACAGAATCGTTATTTTGATCTCAAAGTAATTATAGATTATGAGTTTTCAACGTTGTATTTGACAAATGTAATCCTGTTACATTTGTATGCCTATTAATTAATGCTTGGAGTATATTTTATATTTGAAAACATCTCTATTTGTAGAATCTTCAGATGAGGGGATCAGTATGGGAAGTTCCCCCGATAGTAATGAGGACGGTATTGAAGAATTACAGAGAGCTATGGTAGAATTGAGGAGCCAGTTGGATAACGAACGATGGTTAAGAATGGTTCTAGAGAAGAGATTTCGATCACAGCTTTACACTGACAAATTATCTGATGTTAGCAATGCTTATGTGCAGACTGATCTGAATAAAATGGTAAGTATTTGTGTCGAGTCTCAGGGCAGAAAGGGTGGGGGTATTTAGCTGAAGACAGGACTAGAACGTTACTAAGATTATTGTTAAGCTGGTATTTTATTGACTGAATTATATAGTTCCTCCCAAAATGGTTTAATAAAGGTTAAATGACAGGACATAACAGCAATATGGATTTATTAAGTGTTCCAAAAAACTGCATGTTCCAATCTGTCAGTTTACTAGCTTTAACTTAAAACAACACAATAAATACAGATAAATTTACCGTTTGTTTACATGTGTAAAAAGATTTAAAGATAGTGCTAAATATTGTCTGTGATGAAAAAAATATCCGTCTAATCGGAAATAGACAACATATATAAAAATTAACCGGGTTGTGAAGTCCTGGTTCGAAACCTGGTTACTCTCATGTAGCAGAAATCACCGCAGTAAAAAAATCAAAAAAATCGCATTCTTGTATTTGAAGGATGTTTTTGTTTTTTTTTTCTCAGACTGACTATGATGAATTGAAATCAGATGATGGCTCCATGAAGGATGATTACCCATCGTATCATACCACGTCCATGTCCCGCAAAAATCTTGAAACAATGATGGAAGCTATTCAGCATCTTGAAGGACGACTAGTGTTCGAAGATGATCGGAAATACGAAGACCGGGTTCCCAATACAACCATTCAAATCAGAACATCATCGCACCCCCATCATAGTGAAGAGAGTGAAAAGGACAGCAGTGACCAAGATGATACGAAATCAGAAAGTTCTGATCAATGTCCGACCATCCATTACACCCATCGCATACATCGACATCGTTTACAAAACCAATATACCCAAGACAATGGCAAACTAGTGCCGCAATTATCTGTTCATAGTGAAAAATATCCCTGTTTACAGACTATACCCAATCAATTTTACACCCCAACAAGTGTCATAGTTCATAATTCGTGAAATTAGTTCAATTCATTCATCCATATTTTCATCTTGTATATAATTCATTCATTCTTCATTCATTCATCCATTGAATCATTTGTATCACTAAGAGTGCTATTTTACATTCATTCATATATATAAATATTCATTATTGATTCATGCATATTCATTATTGGTTAAAAATAACCATACTGTTGAGTTTGGGGATTATTATTTTTTTTGTTTTTTTTTGTCACATGTTTGAAAATTTTATAACAGAATTCATTGGGAATAAATAAAATATTATAATTAAGTTTGTATTATTTGGAATTCTAATATCTTTTATTTGATACTATCAAAACTAAAGGGAAAATTTGGTAATTATAAATTTGTTAACTTCGTTTTGAGCTAGACCAACGTCTGTTTTTCCACCATTTTGTAGCATGGTAAACTTTCTTTTTCCCGCCATTTGATGATAGGATATAGAAAAAAAGGATGAAGTTTCGTATATTTTCCATCATAGAAAAACAAAATAATCAAAGGGTTTGTCATAAATTCTAACATTCCACTCATGACAAACATCCATACCAAAGATGTCATCCTTGCATTACATTATTAATTTTGCTTATTGGTAATTATTAATTAATTCCATAGTCTGATCCGTTAATTAGCCCGTATATCCGATTTGATTGTGGGGACAGGGAAACTGATCCTAATCCGACCATATCCTTCTACAGCTGGGATCGTCATATCATTGGAAAATTAGTTAATTAAAATTATCAGCTAGGCCATTAATTTTACTTCATCAAGAACATGTATGAATGATAAAAAAAATGAAGACGTCTATTAAATAGGAAAATTTGTTTTGGTATATATGTCAATTTTGTATTATTAATATTTGATTTATGTTTTTAAACATTTGAAAATAAGTTATTCAGTTTTATTTTTCCTCAGTTCAGGATAAACCTTGAAATCTAAGATAAAACTGGCACCTTCTAGAACATTTATTTCTTTAAATAAAAATGTTTTTTCAACCTTGGGCATTCAGGAAATCAATATATTACAAGGGCATTTGGTATTTATTTTTGTCTGTTTTCTTTCATTCGAAGAACTCTCTGAATATTTTAATTAATGGTTGTAATACACATCTAAGCATTGTTGCATATTTCCTGAACTAAAGAAAAACCTCATTATTTTTAACAATTTATATTTCATGATGAAAAATTATTCAATTCGTTTTTTGTTTCGACCAAATAAATCAACAAAAAATATTTACGGTACAAACCCAAAAACCGCCTGGAACATTGTTTAGAAAACCTGTAAAAAAATTTAATTGAAAGAATTGATTTAAAATTGTGGAAATGGAGGGATTATGGCAAGAAGATTGATTAAATGGGTATGAAACAAAAATAAAAATGAAATTTTCTAGGACTTTTGTTGTTCTTAATGATTTTGCAGGTGCTTGGAATGAAATGCACGTACAGAAATGAAACTTATAATTTTTGTTGGTTTTTTTTAATTGTTCTATGAATACAGATGAAATATATATATTATTATTATTATTATTATAACCCAACATATGTATATAGTAAATACATATAATGTATCATATTCTCCTGTTATATATTGTTGAATACGTTGCCATGGTAAATTTTGAATTTCATCCAAGATGACGTCACTATGGCAACGTACCGCTTTTTCTCGTCTACCCGTGGAGGTAGTACTGTATGTATATATATATGTGTATATCCATAACTGGTTCAAAGTTTACAGAGCAGGGCTAATTTCATTGGTGGTTTGAAATCAGTCCTAAATCACACATCTTCTTTCAGAATGTTAAAATATTCGGCCATTTTAATCCGAAATTAGAAAACTCAAACAGACTAAACACAGTATAAGCAAAAAAGTTTCTTGAAAAAGTTGACAAAATTCACAAAACCTTTCTTTAATATTTGAAATCAACAAAATTGACGGAAGCAAAAATGTATTTTAAGGGCCGTTATGCACATAGTCTTTCTTCAACGATTTTGAAATCTGTCGATTTCTGTTTGACCCTTACGAGAATTATCTGGTAAATAGTTCAAAATTCCAGAAATAAGAAAATTAACTATGAAAATTCGTGTACGAAATCATTGTGACAAATCCATCTTGACACCAGACCGAAACTCACACATTATCCAAACACCAATTTTTGTAACTCAGCGCATAGAGGAAAAATTGATCAGATAATCAAAAACCGATTCAATTTTGAAAAATACTAATACATTTTAGGGTTTCATATCAAATTATGGGGGTTTTTTCCGGCTTAAATAGATTTGGGAATTTTATTCGGATTTTGTTTTTTCTGGAATAAATGAACTAAGTAAAGTATATTGTGTATATATTATGATTTATGAAACAACCCAGACTTTATGTAAACTATATTAAAACAAATGAGAATTAAGCCGGGAACTATTAACTTCGTTTTCATCCTATTATTTTCTGTTTCTTTGTTTATTTTTGCTGTTAGATTGTTTTTTACTGTTTTAAATATTATGGTGGTACGAGTAACTCGATGTGAATAAATGAGAACCATTGTCAATATATATGTTATCCATGTTCGAGTTTGTTAACGTATGTTGATTTCAGTGTAAATGAAATTAAAATGAAAAAATGCACATTACAATGCAAATTTTGGACGGCGATCGTTCTGGTGATTTTCCAAATCCTAATCATGCTTCGATGGGCAAAACAGTTCTTCAAATAAAATTATGAATAAAATTTATTTATTCGTAGTCAATTTAAAATTTTAAAATTTCCTATTTGGTTTTTTTAAATTTAGAAAGTTCGTCATGTTTTAAGATAAACTGATATTTCGAAAAACTGTACATCCGGGCTAATGAAAGTAGAAACCGTTAAGCCCATCAACAAGATTTAGGTAAAATGACCAATAACTGTTATAATATAATTCTGTATGTTTTTTTGTTTTTTTATGTTTTCATTATAAACCCTCATTAGTCTTATTTGTTTTACTTGTAAAAGCCTCATGCATAAACTTTCTTTTTGAGAACATTTTGTGGCTTTGCTCTCTCTCTCTCTCCAAATTCTTTTAGATTGTCGAAATTATTCTGATTGTCATTTGATTTATTAATGGTTTTGAAATTTGAAAAGTGCTAATTTAAACACTGTTGAAGAATAAAAGCATAATTTACAAAAAAAAAGAAGATATTTTAGAAGTGAAGTTCTCTGAACAATGATGGTCCGATTAATTTTCATTTTCTGAAAAAGTTTTGTAATATTTTTAGAATGTTTCATGAAATGTTCCCATTCAATCTCGATTTATGCAAATATTTACTGTGGCTTCATCAGTTTTTCTGCCTTGATCACGTGATTTTTAAACGATCACGTGATTTGGCGCTTTCCGCCTCTGTCGCAAGGGGGAAATAACCCTCGCGACTTGTGTTTGAAGTGTGGTCTTGCAGTGCACTATAAAGCCTATGTTAGAACATGATGCAGTGATACATATTAAATGTTGAAATAAAGATTAAGTTGTTTGTTATATATTGCTCCAGGGATACTACATTTTAAAATGATGCAATGAGGGATCAGGGTATATTCACCAGAAGATTTCCAGAGCACCTGGCGACATATTGTTTATTATGCTACAGGAGATTCTCAAAGCAGTTGACGAGACCACCCAGCTAGTTCTACAATTCGGTTTAGGCAATATTCTTAAAAATTTTACCCATTACCCAGGACAGTTGACAACAAATCTTTTACCCATTGTCCAGAGTAGTTGGCAACAGATCGCTTATCTATTACCCAGAGGAGTCGATAGCAAATATTTTACACGCTGTCCTGAGAATTGGACAACTGTTCTTTGCCCATCACTAGCAGCGACAGATTATTTACAAATTTGCAGAGCACTTGGCATAACACCATCGACCACATACCACCATGATGTTAAAGTAACTGGCAACAAATATTTCACCCGTTACCCAGAGCAGTTGACAATATTTCCTTTACCCATTACCCAGAGCAGTAGACCATATTTCCTTTACCGATTATCCAGAGTACTTGACAACGACTCCTTTATCCATTGCCCATGAGAGTCAACAAATCCTTTACCCATTGCACAGGGCAGTTGACAACAAATCATTTACTCACTACCCAGCGTAGTAGTTGACAACAAATCCTTTATCCATTACCCACCGCCGTTGACAACAAATCCTGTACCCATCACCTCCAACGTCCTTTGTAGCATACTTCGACGACAGATCCTTTTGTATCGCTAGAGCTGATAAGAAAACGGATCCTGCAGAGTTGACGACAGTCCCTTTACCAATCGCCTGAACAGTTGACAACAAATTCTTAACAATTATATGGGCTCAAGATCCTAGACCTAAAAAAATCCTTTCCCCGCATCCAGATCAGTACACATCCTTTCCCCGCTGCCAGAGAAATGAACAAAACAACCCCTTTTTTCGCTGCCAGAAAAACCAAACCCTTTTCCCGCCGCTAGAGAAATGGACAAGACCTACCATTTCCCACCACCAAAGAAATGGACAACAAACCCCTTTCCTGTCGCCAGAGGAATGGACAAAAGCAACCCATTCCCCACCGCTAGGGAAATGGAAAAAAAAAAAACCTTTTCCCATCGCCAGACAAAATTAAATCCTTTCCTCGCCGCTAGTGAAATAGACAAAACCAACCATTTTCCGCCACCAAAGAAATGGACAAAACCAACCCATTCCACGCCGCTAGGGAAATGGACAAAACCAACCCTTTACAGGTCAATGGACATCTAAACCTTATCCCAGTCAGAAAGCAGTTGACAAATAACTCAAAACTAGACAGTCTGTTCAAAATACCCTCGAAACCATCCCGGGAGGTAGGCCTATTTGCGACGAGATCACCGGTCGACATATGCCTAGTATTTACTGCTTGACGAAGTCGTACATTGTGAATTAACGTACCGTGCTAATACCGCTTTTATATAACTGAATAAAATCTTTAAGGGCTGTCAAAATGTTAGAGTTACACTTGACTTTATGAATGAATGATTTATAGTCGGCTTAAAAGGGAATATAGTTGACGATAAGAATGGCGGCCTAGTTACATTTTTTTTTTGACGTACAATAAGTAAAGCTAATAAATATGGCCGCAGATCACCAATAATTTCCCCATGGACTCTAATGGTATTCTCGTCTGTAAGACCGACTCTAACTTTTCCCCAATTTTCCCAAATTACCACGGATGGAGCAACATGTGGTAACCGCTTGCTCAAAAGCACGTATGAGGTTCATCATGGAAACCTTGAGATACATAAACTGGAAGTAGAGATAAATAAACGTGCAACCTTCCGTCCTACATTTCAACCTAACCAACCTCTTAACTCTCCGCCTCAAAATCATGAATATTCACCAATACCTGTCAGAAAATGTAAATTCAACCCTTTTCTTCAATTCTACACCATCGCCACGCAAAAGGGGGAAAGGGGGGGGGGGGGAGAAATACTAAAAATAACTTTTGTAACCAGCGTCGCTGTGTCCTCAATAATTGATGGCCATCTCCGTATTTCTCGTGGTTAAGGGTCACACTCGTGAAAGAGTGCTGTTGTCCAGCACAGTGTACAATATTTCCACGTATAAAGCTATCCCATCTCGTGGATTTTCTCCAATCCCCCCCCCCCCCACACACACACACACTGCTAAAGACCCCTAAAATTGAAAGATTTTTTTAGTCCTGAAATGACCTAGTTTGTTTCGAGTGGACGTTAAACACCATTTCTCTCTCAGTTCTGTGTTGCTAAGCATTCGGATAATTAAGTTACTGCAATTTCGGCACGTGGTATGTTATCTCTGTACGTTCGTATGTTTGGCAGTGTTAAAAATTGTCCATAGAGCGGGAGGGAAGGGGGAGGGGGGGGGGGAAGATGCGTTGCGACTATAATATGACTCACATTACACACAATATCCTTCCGGTGTTTTTGTGAAGGATTCGAATAGTTAAGCCGTGCGCGTTAGGTCACAAGGTGTGTCATTGAGTGGCGTGGTTTAGATTCCAAGCTTGCACGTGACATGGTGTACCAGTTCACCTGTTCAATCTCATGGGTTTTCTGCGGGTCCTCCGGGTCCTTCGGTTTCATCCCACATCTGAAGACCCCTACGCGTAAGCTAAATATTGAAATAAAATCATCTGTTAGTCCCCAAATGTCCTAGTTTGTGTCGAGACGTTAAATACAATTTCTCTCTCTCCCTTCCGTTTTAAAATCAAGGCCCAAGGCCATGGGGTGTCTAGAACACCCGATACCACTTGAGGAGTCCACACAGCTAAATAAACCGTCTTGCATGAATGAATACAACTTTTCTCTATAAAGCTCTTCAATTTCCAATGAATCGTCAAAAGCCATATTTATTGCTGGCATGTGAATTAGGCTATTTTAATCTATTTATTCAGACCATTTTACCTATATTAATTCATATATATAGTTAATCATACTGCGGTGAATAATCCTTTGTTTCTGTAAACTGTTACACGTGTTTATATGTTTTAAAGGGGCGAGTAACAGCTAGCTTAAAAATTTAAAAAAATATTTATTGTAAATTTTCTTTAAAAAATGGTTGTCTGACAGATAATAAAGTCTAACCATTTATATTCCAATCTGAACGACCAGACATTGTTCCTTTCCAGACTCTGACAAGGGGAAACCAGTTTAAAGAATCTTAAGGAACTTTCTCGGCCATCACCGGGATCAGCGAGCCAGCGTCTTATTCACTGAGCCACACATGTTTACCCTAGTCCTTAAACCAGAGTTGAATAAGTTTTTATGTTTGACCGTTGTTCTGGCACCTTGCCCCTTTAAATAAGTGTTCGTGTAGCATAAATAGAATCTACACCGGGACAAGTGTACTAAAAACTTTGTTTACGACTCGAGAGTGTCGCTCTTCAACTCGAGACAACTTTTATTTTTACATATATATATATATATATATATATATATATATATATATATATATATATATATAGTTTAATAGTTTAAATTTTATTTATGCGTATAGCCTCAAGTAACATATTAGATGCAGTTAAAGTTTATGAAAATAAGAACAAAGAAAAAACATCAACAGTGATAAATGAGATTGGGATAGACAAAAATGAATTGAATTGAAATGGGGTTAAAGTCCAGGTGTTCTGCCTCCACTGTGGGAATATTGCCCGGACCCTATCCTATGCCACTGACACAGACGAACCTCGCCGGAAAATCCCGAGGAGCTTTCTCGGCCAACACCAGCATTTTGGCGAGCCAGCGTTCTACACACTGAGCCACCGCGGCTCCCGTCCGAAAACAACAGCCCCCCCCCCCCCTTTGTGAGTTTGTACGGTCCTACCCCCCCCCCCCCACACACACACACACTCACGCACACACCTTACAAATACACTGTACGTTAGTTCAGAAATCGAAATGGGGTTTGACGTCCACTAATTAGGTCGTTACGGGACTAACATATGGCATAATTTATTCGTAGGGATCTTTAGTTGTGGGAGGAATCAGAAGAAAACCAAATTAACTCAGACAGGCAAACATACTTCTTGTCACACGTACAAACGTGAGTTCAACACCATAGCATGCGCATCAATGGCATTCCACAGCAAGGGCACGCAAATCGCCGGAAAGAGGGCTTGTTACATCCTCATCATTATTCCCCGAGGCAATAATTTAAAATATTCGGCCACCCAACCCACCGATCCGTCTTTATTATCCCGGTTGGTGCAGAAAAATAGAACATTAGACAACATTTTATTTATTCCAATTTACCAAGAAAATGGCGTGTGTCACATCCGCATTATAATTCCCGAGGCAATATCTCAAAATACATGTATATCAAAATACTTCAAAATAAAAATTATTTTATGTTTTCGTGCGAAATATTTGGGATTGAGAAAAAAATATCTTTAAATGAAACAAAAATAATTCTTAAACTTCAAATACTAACACGTTTTTAAATAGAATTACAAAAAGTAAAATGTTAATTTGTCTTTGTTATGAAAGTTAGTAAGTAATAGCGAGTAGGTGTGTAAGAGGGGTTTAACATAACTTCAACTCATTAACAGTAGATATATCTTTAGGCCTTTTTTATATATCGCATAGCTGACATACCAGCGTTTGTAACACCTTAATATACACACATGCGTAACAATACCTGACATAGCCTTGGTTAGTTCGTAACAATACATGACACAGTTAGTTCGTAACAATGTAATCTAATATTAGTTGAAGGACACAGCCTTGATTAGTTCGTAACAATTAAATAGTAAGTGCAGGAGGACCGTACTACACACAACACAAAACCAAAACGATAAGACAAACCTACGGACAAGACAAACTATATAACATTGCATGAAATAATCAACAAAAATCAAGTCAACTGAATGGATCAGCGTCCATTGCGCTGTAAAATGTAAGTTGAATGACATAGGCTAGCCTTCGTTACAATACGGACGTTATTTGTGGGACACAGCCCTGGTTTAATCGTAACAATACGG